TAATGAAAGAAATAAATACAAATTTAATAAATGATTCAAAATAAATAAAGTTGACAATCAAAACCACTTAGTTGTATGAAATATGTATAGATATGTGAATTGGTACTTTTGGCTTCCAAAATAGGAACATACATTGGTTTAAGGTAAACAGGTTCACACTTTTGTAAGCCTTAAAATAATACGGACATGCCCTTATGTATATTGACATAATGATTGGTTGCTTCAATTGTTCCTCCTGTCCATACTGAGCACCACCGACAACACAATGATGCATAACAAGCCCAACCATTGCTAAGGGTTTTTAACATCTGTTTGCTATTACGAAGTGAATAAAAATCCCTTTGATAGCTCAGATCTGTCAGACGGAAAAGAATAAAGATGAGAACTTGGATTTCCATCAACTCTTGGCTTTAATAATTAGCTCTGTTTATGATTTGTCATAAACTATAAACACAGCAGGTTATCACTGGGAATAAACTTCACGAGTAACTCAAATCAGAAAAAGATTTCCCACAAAAGATGTGGCATGTTGCTGGTGTCATGCAGTACATTTCAGCTCATTTCTCTTTGACAAAGTATTATCTTAAACCTTTTTTACAGACTTAAAGATGTCTTTTTCATGCCTGTCCTAATTCTTCAGTCTCCTCTCTTTTTTATCAGGGCTGTGAAGTGTATACTGTGGCTATAAAAGCACACAATATACTGTATGTGTTGATGCATTCAATTGATTTGATTTTTGTTTGGATAATTCAACTTCTTCTCAAGTATTTTCTTCATAAGGCATCTGACTTTGTTTAGATGATCACTGTCTGAGTATATAGTTCTGCAGTGATGCCTTTGTAGGCCGACCGATTTCGGAATACTGCAAAAATAAGATCCGTGGCAAACACACGTTACTGATACTTACACGTTTTGTTCAGCAGGATCTTCTCCACATATCAACACCACTTTGTGATTTTTGAAGGGAAAATGCAATCACCATAGGTTAAATGCTATCGTTAGGCTATACATGACCTACATCACAGTTGCATGGCCCTGCATCACCACCACTAAGCTAAAGACGGCTAATATTCAGCATGATGACATTTATTAGTTTCTTTAGACACTTGTTAGCAACCACTATTTTTAAGAAACATCGAAGTTTTAGATATTCAACAGTGGAGCATTTACTGACATATTTTATGTTGTAGAACAAAACTTGAAAGTCTCTTGAGCTTATATTAACCACAGACTTGGTTTCATGCGTCTAACCACAAAATAACTTTCCAAAAAGCTTTGACTTTGAGAAATCCTGGGTCTGGGCAGATCCTAATGGTCTTGGCAGATCCTCTGATGGAATGTGACCTCTGACCTTCCTGGATGAATGTGGAAAAAAATAGCGTTCCTTCAGTTAAACATGCTAAACAGTATCTCTTTTGTGGTTAACTTCCCACATTTGATATCATGTTGTAGCGCCTGTAAACTGTGAAACTGTCTCTCTATTCCTTTTATTGTTTATCCATGAATTTGATTGTGGTGTGATCTTCTAAATCCCTATTGTTACATAATGTTTTTCCAACTGTGACAAGCAAGCGCAGGCCCGAGACAATACACCAAGTATAATCCTGAATATATGACATTGAAAAACGGTTAATATCTTGGCGGTTGCTGCTCGTAGAATCCCAGGTCCGGGCAGCAGATTAAAATCTTGGTTGGGCCTATCCACAGCACTGCAACAACTGACCTCCAGCTGTGCAAGAACAATAATCCCTCTGTTGTAATCTGCCTGAGCGGGAAGTGACCCAAGCCGTGGTCGCAGAGGCCATCCAAGGCCATACACTTGGAAAATGGTTTGATGGCAGTTTCATGATAAGCTATTATCAATCGGCCCATATGTGTTGAAACAGGGGCTTAAACCCAGTGTGCGTGTTCCTGAGAGAGGCAGTATGGGGAAAGCCCAACATGACATCTGGATCTGAAAATCACAGGATCTTCCTGGTGGGATTTATCCATTGCTGTTATGATTATTTGGCCTTACGCTTGACGGTTCCAATTCCACTCACAGCAGCATGGGTTTAAGGGAGGAAGGCCTAAATAGCGGGGATTATTCTCCCTCTCCCTCCCTCTCACTCTCTCTTACCCTATTTTCCTGCATCAAAAGCTCCGCCTCTCATTCAGTCTCTGTCGCTGTGATGACCACAGGCATGAGCACAGCAGGCGTCCATCGAGGCTTCCTCAGGAAATATGGTAGGCCTGCTCTGACTCACCATTGTGTGTGACAATGATTATCTGCCTTTATTAATAGGCAATAGACCAAATCACTTTGTCTTGTTTGCTTCATGTTGGTGCTTATTCTATGACAATTAATTTGTAGTATTACATTTAGGTCACTTGATGGGCTGTGTTTTTAAATACACTCCCTATCCACCTGTGTTTGGCGGAACTTGTTGTGAGTTCTCTATGTTTGCAGTTTTGTGTGTTCTTTCATGATTAACGCTATCTGATTAGCGCACAGTGAAAGATCGGAGATTTGATCATTTGTGAGAGTTTTTACCTAAAATTCCATTACCATATTCCAAAAAAAACTAAATATGTATTTCAAAATTTTTTGACAGTCAGAATAAAAAATAAAGTTGTTATTTTTAAAGGATTTCAGGCCTGTACTTGACAAAATGACATTTTAAAGGTCTTTTTTTAGACATAAAAACACTGATTTGGTTGAGTGTATGGAACTTGTGATATTATGCCCCCAAAGGAGTAATACATATTTTACATTTATTCCTCTAAAGACAGCCGTAAACCTAACAGGTTAAGACGAATACTGTTGAGATCAGCACTCCAACTCTCAGATGAGTGACATCAATCTCAGAGAGAATTTTTGTTATATAATTTCCCCCAGATGTGTTTTTACAGAATGACGAGATGTTTTGCTTTCGAAGCCAAGTCAGGATCCAGGACTCAGCCAGTGTCTCATGTCTTTGTGCCAATGTTACATCTGTTTCATATCTCCATCAATTTCATTTGATAGTGGCGTCATGGTGGCTCAGGGGACAGAGGCGGGAGATACAGTTAACCAGCAGCGTCAGCAGTTCAGATAAAGATTCTTTATTATCTTTCTCTCCTCACTGAATCAGAACCAAAATCACAATTCAGTTGTTGCCAATAATCTTTTCACACGCAAGGGAATTGGTTTAAGTACTTCAAAAAAACAAAAAAACAGAAACAATTTGAATAATCAGAAAAACAATTATACTTCACTCAGTCAATATAGATAATAGTATAGATACAAGTGTAAATATGTATAAAATAAAATAAACTTTTGGGAATAATACATGTTTACAGACTATGAGCCAGAGTCAGACCCTATTTAGGCCTGAAACCAGGAGAGTGGGGACTGTTTCTGCATCACATAAATGCCTATGGTTTTGTATGTCCATTGTTATCCAGATATAATAGAAAACAAACAAATTGTTAATTTGTTTAACACGTAAAAAAAAGGAAAAGGGTTATCATTATTACCCTTGTCACTTACAATCTAAGAGCATTATGTGTGTCCTGTCCAAAAAAACTCCCAGAATGCTCCAAAAACAGAAGCTTTCTGTTTGTTTCTACAGGTCGAAGCTGCCCTTGGTGTCTGGTTGCAGAGACAGAGAGATTTATATTAGAATATAGAGCTTTAATGGTGCTCTGAACTCTGTTATTTGACTGTCTATGTCTGGTTTACATTCTTCACTTATTCTAAAAGTTATTCTAGATTTCAGGCCTCATGCATTAGCTTTTTTCCTTGCAAAGAATTTCCTTTTGCCTAGTGCAAAACAACCACTCTTCTACAAATACAATTTTTTTAATAGTTTTTGACATAGCTGTGATTATACGATTCTAAGGTCATTTTTCGAGGTAGCGTTTTGTGCTGCTGTTGAATTGATATATACGTAGGTATAGAATAGTGCAATTAAATCAATGATTTGGACTGGATTTAGTTCACCTTTCAATAGAGAGCAGCCTCAACACAGACACAACTAAAGCATGACTCTGCAATAATTAAACATTTCAAAATGTCAGATGTTTTTCATGATGCACATAACTGATGTTGGTAAATAATCAGAAAGTCTCCAGTATGTAGTGGGGGGGGGGGGGGAGGAATGTTGGTATGCGACTCACCACTTTGGTCCAGATTGAAATATCTCAATACCTATTGGATTACCATTGAATTGGTTCTGACATTAGTGATTTCCAGAAGATGAGTCGAATGTTTTTGCTGATCCCCTTACTTTCTTTTCAAACTTTTTACTACCGACTATCTGCAAGACTGACAGTCAGCCTGTGTTTTGCACTAATTAGCACATTTAAGCATGCTAACATAGCAGGCTAGGTTGGTAACATGTTCAAAAATATTAAGTATTGTCATTGTGAGCTTGTTGCCAAAGCTCAGGACACCCCTACTGTGCCTCATTAGTCCAGGGGCATAAAGCATGGGGAAGGTTAATGGGCCCTTCCCTGGTTTCTATCCCCATACTTCTGGCGCCCGGACCACACCCTTTTTCGACCTCAGCCTTCATTTTGATCTTCAATACACATCTGTAAAGTTTCGTGACTGCATCTTGCACTGTTTAAAAGCTAAAACAAGTAAGAGTAAATAAAAAGGTGAAGAGAATACTAGTATCACAGTCACATCCATTTTTATCTTCAGTGCTGTAAATCTGTACCATAAATAACCCCAAAATCACCCACCTACGGACACACCTCTACACTGAAAAAACTGAAACGTTGACTTTAATTAAATATATTATGTCAACAAATGTCACTTACCTGTATTAGGTTAGTTGATAATAATACTCAATAATATTAAGTTTAACCTAATATTTCTTATTTAAACTTGATATAATTGCTTTTAACTATCCCAATACAGTTATGTGAAATATGTTGACATAATACATTTAATTAAAGTCAACGTATCAGTTTTTTCAGTGTAGAGAAAAGTCAGAAGTATCTAATCCCTTCATTGCGCTGCAGGGGGCTTCATGTTTAAGCAGTGGAAGGAGAAGTACCTGGTGCTGACCCTGGAGGGGAGCCTGTTGGTGTGCCGCGATGCAGAGTCGCCTCCAGACCAGAGGGTAGCCCTACACAGCAGCTGTGAGTCCATCGTAGAGGGCCGGGAAATCATCGACCTGCCCAAGCTGCCTCCAGGGGGCAGGAGGGACTGCTGCTTCGCCCTCATCCTGCCGCAGAACAAGTTCCTGCTGCTGCTCTCTGACAACCCTGATGACTGCAAGTATGTTTCTCACACACACACACACACACACACACACACACACACACACACACACACACACACACACACACACACACACACACACACACACACACACACACACACACACACACACACACACACACACACACACACACACACACACACACACACACACACACACACACACACACACACACACACACACACACACACACACACACACACACACACACACACACACATATATATATATACAATATATACAACTTTATAAGCTATCAAGCTATCAAATATGTTTTGTGGCTCCAGACTAAAAAAATTGGTGGAAAAGGGGGCAAAATGGCTCTTTTGGTCAAAAAGGTTGCAGACCCCTGGGTTACACTGACACACATGCCGATGTCTCCTTTGTCCCACTAACTTTTACTATGGCAAACGGTTATCAGATTCTCTCTTGTGTTGTCATGAAAATGTCAATGCCTGGATCTGGTTCAAATATAATGACTCGTCTTTTTTTATCCCTCACAGCCTCTGGCTGAATGTGATCAGGAAAGTGAGGGAGGTGAGTCAGCATTTTTTACTTGAGTCTGCTGTTGCTTCATTCAGCCTTGTTTTCATGTCTTCAACTTAAAGTCATGTGACTGTGATCGGTTATGCCCTAACATTAGTTTTGACTTCTGCCGATTGCATTTACAATTAAAAAAACATAAACCTGCTGTTAATAAGTGGAGATTATCACACTGAACAAAATGTTTATCATAAATGTCTTTGCCACAAAGCTTATTTTATGCAAAACTCTGAAACCTAATTGAACAATTCCAATGCATTGTCAAGTAATTGCTTAAGATGCTAACATGTCATCCCAACACTTTATATGGAAACGTTATATTTGTGTATGTCTCATTTTCTAGGGTGTCATGTCCCCCTTGACCCTCCAGAGACAGCGCAGCATCACTCCCTGCATCACCGACAGAGACCCCCTGCCGGATTCCTCCAGCGATAAAGACCCCGGGTCACCCAGGTTCAGTGAGGGGACTCCTCCTATGTCCCGTGTCACTGAGCGGGGAGGCTCCTTCAGAGACAGTGGCCAAAACCAAGGTCTGCTATGTGGTCATCTAGATGTAACATCACAAGACTAAAAGCTACATTAGGGGTTATGATATGGTGGCTAAGAAAGCTTGATGTCTGTTTATAAAAAATCAAATGAAGAATCGCCACCACTGAAAACATAGGTTATTTTGAGAACAAGTACAAATTCACAATAGCGCACTTGCATGCATCCATTGCTGTGTCTTATTTTGGATACTTCCCTTGGTACACTGCATGTCATGTGCTAAAAAATATTTTGCAGTGTGAAGATGTAGTGTTGCCTTAAATCACACATGACAGCTGTGCCCTGAACCGAACTGACAATCGCTTCTGTTAGCTAGCTAGCTAGCTAGCAATGATATTTTGCTGTTACAAATCATTATAGACTGCTTAGTTCACCCTATAAAATATTTAAACTTTACCAGTTTAGGAGTATGTTAAACAGGTACTTAAAGGTCCCATGTCATGCTTTTCCGGTTATTACCCGTCCCGTTGTGTGTTATGAAGATTTTTATGCATGTAAACGGTCTGCAGAGTCACAAACCCTCAAAGTACACCCTGTAGCGAGTAAAACTCTAACACAGAAAAGACCTGTCTATGCTGCCCCAAAACGCCTCGTTGGAGATTTGTCTTTTTCCATAGTTTTCTTCCTGGGTATGGTGACGTGCCCATACCCAAATTGACCCATTGGTCCAAATGGACCAATCCGTGGAGCTCCTCACACACACAGACTCTTTTAGCGGCGAAAATGTAACGCGCTGGGGGGGGGGGTGCTAGTGGAGCCTCGCAGCGTGGCGAAACTGTGGCGAAACTGTGGCGCGCTTACACTGTAGGTGCGCCGCGTTTGGGGGTGCAGGGGGCGGATGCGGGTGCTAGTGGAGCCTCGCAGAGGGGCTGCTACAGCCCCCTCAGCACCCCCCCCCCCCTTCCCGTGTCCATTCGCGATGTCTCGCTGTCTCGCAGCAAGCAGGAAACCACACCAGTAAGCCAGCTCACACTGTCAGCTCCTCGCAGCAGCGAGCCAGTGGGCGAGCTGACCAATCAGAGCACACTGGGCTCAACAAGGCGTTTAGGACAGAGAGTGAAATTCAGTGAATACACATACTATACAGAGACGCTGTATAAGAAAACCAATGTGAGTTTGGAAAATTGCACAATATAAATCTATTCTAGTAGACCTCAACAATGGAATTATGATCAGTAGAAATGGCCATGACATGGGACCTTTAAAAGAAGTGAAAAAAACAAATGTCTTACCAATTTGCATAGCGCTGTATTTACCTGAGCAACCGCAATTGTGGCTGGTCCCACCACTTCCGTTACTTAGCCAAAAAGGGCGATTATTGAGTGTGAGAAGTGTCCAGCGTTCCACACTTAACTTTGTGACCATTTGGGTGCACCATCCAAGTATTCATGCTGCACTGCATTTTGCCATATTGGGACGCACGTATGCACTTAAAACAACAAATGTAAGAATGGAAGTTAGCTAACAGGCTAATGCAAGACTTTGACAACACATTAATGGCATAAAGAAACTCAGAAGTACATCTTTTGTGTCTCACTAGGAAGAAATTCAAAATTACTGTAGCTTGTTTTTTATTTATTTGCAGCTCTTTTACTCTAAATGTGACAAATAGTCCTACAGTATGTCCTCAAAGGCTGAAGTGTAGTGCGCTCTCAGTGGTGGTTAAATGTTATAGTGTTTGTGCTCACCAAACTCACAGACACAGCTGGATATACAATGGAAATATCAGGTTATTATGGCTAACACGCACCTAATTAATTTAATCTTATCTTTGCTTACCTTTAGTTGTGGTTGGCAGAGGCCGGAAACTTCAAAGAACTGCAATGTAGGGGGCTTATAGCAAATTGATTAAATGTTATTGTCATGAATATTGCTTAAAGGTGCTCTAGGTCCTAGGATACTGGCCCATCAGGTGTTGATGAGCGAATACACATAGAAAAGATGTTTGTTCTGTGTGCGGTTCCATCTCGTAAAGAGATCTATTGCTCTACTTGATCAAACACACGTGCCTGGATTGTGAGATGTACTAACTCTGGTTAAAGTTGAGATCTGAATAAATTTAATTAAAACATAATAATAATAATGTTTATATATTTTTTTCAAATAACCTTTACAGCCGGTGGGCCTCGGCAGCCGCTGCGCAGTGTCCCTGTGGCCCCCCCTCATCGTGCGTCAGATTGTCTTCGCCATGGCAACAGCAGCGATGCCCGGGCAGTGCGGGCCGTGTGCCTAATGATGGGGGGGGCGGCAGCCTCCTCTGCTCTGGGCTACCTCAACTCCTGCTCCCCTTCCTCCCCGCTGGCTGGCAGAGCCTCAGAGATAGCCCACGTCACCGGGGGCTTCTCGGAGCCCCCTGCGGGGGGGTCCTTCCATGCCTGCAGCCAGGACGTGGACTCCCCCCACTTCAACAGCTTCGACTTTGAAGGAGACTCCGACTTTGATGCATTCGATTGTGGAGGATTTGCTTTTTAGTTCTGATTACATAGCAGTTGTTTGACAAAATCCTTGTGTTGGTATTCCTTCATGATAAAAGGTCATAGTTATAAAGTCATCAATAGTCTGTTATCTATGCGTCTACTCTATAAATTAATGAAGATGTTTTTCCTGGCTTTGTGCCCATGCTCCTCAGGTGAATCATTCATGATCTTGACTCTTGTGAACACTGCCCGTGTGTTGTATCAGTCTTTCCATGCCTTAGGACGGCCTGAGGTTAACTGAGATGGCAGTGTAATGAGCCACACAGACGTTTAAGGGCCTCTGTTCAGATAGAATCTTCTTTGGGTGAAAGGCACTGGTAGGGCGCCGGTGAGAGCCTCGTCCCAGAGTTTCATCAAAAAGGACTTTCTTTATTGCTTCTATGAAAACGATATCCTGACAACATATCACAGCGATTGTATGACAGACCAATATTGCCACTTGGTTTGTGCTACTATATCATTTTATGACCATTACATCCAACTGGAAAATGCTTGCTCTCACACTTTGCTTCACCAGTCAATCTGACAGCCAGAAAAGTGTGGGGAATAATTTGCATATGACGAAAAATACCGACAGCAACTTCCAGTGTCCGTCCAGCCAATGCACTCCAACATATCGATGTTTTCTGTCTGTGAAATGATAGAAAAACAAGCTTCTCCTACAGGTTCTGCAGTCACGTAATTATCCCCTTTCTGAAAAGTTAAAAAGTTATCAACTTCAAGTGTTTGGAGCAGCCGCATATTACACAAACATATTACGCAGTCGTCACATGTGACAGCTTGTTCTCACATCAAACCGGAAATAATTAAAAAAAATACACTAACGCTCAGAAAAAGGCGCTATTTGGACACAGGCCCTAAGAGGACATGAAAGTCTATTAACAGTTGTGTTTTCCCACAATTCGTTGTTCATTTTTATACATTTAAAAAAAATGTTGCCTATGTGAATATGTTGTCATCTTCCTTTTGCCCTGCTCTCAGGAGTCCCTATGTGCTCGTTGATCTCACATGAAATGCAGTGCAGAGGTGAACTCCAAATAAATCCTGCTGTCACCATGACTGTGCGTCTTTCTCTCTACATCCATGTGCTGTTTGCTAGCTGGCGTGCAGCAGCAGGAGGGAGGGATATGCAGAGCCTGACCCGCTCTGTGTGCCCTTCTGAGATTTTGTAGCACAGCAAAAAATAATCCTTTGGGTTTATAGATCAGGGTTTGTGTGCTCTCAGTTTGGAAATCATGTGCTGAGATTCACACACCGCTGAGGAACAGCTGCACATGTTTTCTTGCTGTCTTCCTTTGTCACATGCAAGAATGACTCAGCTGATTGTGATCAGTTGAAGAGAAATGGTTATTTTCATACAGATATAAAAAATCAATCTTTACCAACCTGGAGAACATTTTTAAGTAAATTCAGCTTGGAAGTCATTTTTCATCATTGTTGAAAGTACATTTGATCAACATGACTTATGTGTATTATCATATTATAAATGTTATGTAATACATCAAAGCCCTGTTGCTCAATATTGCCATGCTTGACAACTAGGCCAAACAGTCACGCTGAGGCTCCGCCCCTCACAGACAAGTTAAGCGGGTTACTCAGATACATAAACATACAAATGTATTAAAGAATAACAGCAGTACAGATTCAGGTAAAGCGTGCGGGTGTTGTTGCTCCTTAATGTTTTGAAGGGTAAAAATATATTTTTAAGTGTTTTTTAAATAGAAAGTTTGATTGTGCCTAAGTATTTTACCAAAACAGTCCACCTCTTCCAAAATGCCGTGCTCCTACCAACTTTTCATTAAATATTAGCACAAAAAACAATTCACATAAAAGGTTTAAACTCTTGATAATCATTTATTATGTTTTGTTGTCTGTGCTGGACAGGGTTTATTTTTTGTAATTTCTTGATAAAATTACACTTTGAGAGTTCATATAACATATGTATTTCTCCACATTGGACAACATACTGTATAGCAGCAGATCCAATGTCGCACACTGACAACACGAAGAGATTATGGGATATATGCAGCGGGGTGAAGGAAATGATTAAACACATTGGTACAGTCCATGTAGTTCAGCTGTCCTAAATCCACATATTTCACACAGATTTGATGTGAAATAACCAATCCCAATCAAACCCGAAACAGAATCAAGCTCAAACTGAATCTATGTTCTTACGACTGGATCTGAGAGGAGCAACCAATCCAACGGTTGGGTTATTGATCAAATCAGTACTGGATGTGTATTTTGTAAATTGTGTCATTTCTGCTTTATCTTATTTGTATGCATGCTTCTTAATTATAATTAAGCTATCTTAGGCTCTTTTTATTTGCTGTAACAATGTACATTTCCCCTGGAAGAATAAAGGTATTCTGATTCTGATATACAAAAAGCTATTTTCTGCCGGCAAATCAAAGAAGAGATTGTGAGCTTTGTCTGTTTGCTCAGTGCATTCATCCCTCTCTCTCATCCATTAATCCTTATCTCCTTCTGATGGCATGTGCAATACACATTAGAATATGTTACATAACCATTCATCATGCTGACACTACAGAATGCAATGTTAAATTGCATTTTAGTTGAGTATGGGTCTTGAGTAGTTATTGAATATGGCAATAAGCCACCAGGCATAATTTTACACATTCGTTGGAAATATTGTTTTGCAAGCACCTTTCAACACAAGGCAATTCAAAAGTGCAGACATATTTCTAATGATAAAGTATCGATCTTATCGAACACACATACTCAACAAAAATTTCTTAAGAAAATGAAATATCCAGCTCATGCCTATTGTTCTAGGTTTACACACAGAAAGATATTATTTTGTTTATTACTGTCAATGTCTTCAACATCAACGTGGAAAAGATATAAGGTTAATTTAGTGGGAATGCTGATACAGCATTCCAACTATATGTTATTCTACGGACGAAAAGTTTATTATTATTCCGTCCAATTATTTTGTCCGTCTTCTCCTCCCACATTCAACATCGCAGAAACTCCGTTCAAACATCAAAACGTTCAGCTCGGTCGGGAATCGACTGCTATTACTTTTATCATTCATAACTTTCATAATTCCAGAGATACATCCCATAATTCATCACATTTTTAACATTGAAGTCAATGGAGATATTCTTCAGACTTCAACAAATCTTCATGCGACTTTAACTGCTAACTGTTCATTCATACTTTCACTCAGAAACCTCATTCCAACTTTAAAATGTTACACATCTTTCTGACATTATTCGTGTAACACAACTTTTAAATCTGATTCTTACTAAATTCTTCACTTTCTTCTTACACATTACATTTCAGCATAGCAGTTTAGCGTCAGCTTTTCAGCATAAAGCATTCCCACTAGCAATTTCTTCAGGAATTGCATTCTCTAGTTTGTATTAATGTGGACCGGAGGGAGAGGGTGACGAGCATAAGTTTCACTTTCCTTTTTTATTTCAATTCCAACTTTGGTCATGAAGAATATGTTTCTCTGTTGTCCACGTTCATAAAGCATAAAACAACAGCATCAGAGCACGGTGCAGAGTCTCTAGATGAGTTTACAGTAGTCCCTCGTTCTTATTAAACATCCATGTTGTAGTCCGCTGTATAGAAAACTGTAGTTTCCATAGTTTTCCCACAGCAGCAGACGCACATTTATGACGTCCGCTGGCGCATCATAAACACGTCGGATAGTGAAAGTGCAGTCGGATTCTCTAAAATACCGCAGTCTCTTCTCCTAAATCCTTTTGAATTCTCCTATCCACTATCCCTTAACCCCATGACGTTTCACTCAGAGGTCAAGGAATAGACGATAGGGTTAGACGTTAGGAGCTGATTTTTGGATTATCCGACCGCAACCGTGGAGTCCTCACACTTGATTTTAATTGTTTCCTAACCCTGTTACGCCTGCCACAATGCCCCTGTACCCGCCAGAGTTCCCGTTAGCCGGTAATTACCGGACTATGACCGGTAAAATATGCTGAAGACCGGCAAATCTAAATCTCTCCGGTCAAAATGTCCGGTCAAAATAATTTCCCCTTAGCGCAATACCGCATCAGTTGCGCCACTTATGTGACAGACAAAAGAGTGTCTAACACTTAATGTGGAGAAGGAGATGTCCTGTATGGGTTGATTGTGCGTTGATCTGTTGGTAATGCCTCGGGGGTTCCGGTGGGCATGTAAACAAATGCATAATGCTGCGCTATACTTTGTGGCCTCACCCGGTTGCATAGCGACACTTATTGTTTAGGTGTCTTTTAATAAGCAGGTAGTCATATCATTAGCTAGAACTAGCTAGATCTGATCGATATGGACATAAACGCAAGTAAAGTCTAATCTGACGGGAGCGAGAGATCAGCTGCTGCTGACGAGTCGACACGCAGCTCTGCATGATCACCTGCAGCGGTGAGCTGAGCAAAACACACACTTCAGGTTAGAATATCACACGTAGCCTAGCTATTTTAATTACCTCTCAAACTACCTAAACTAGTTATAGATATGTTTAGTTTTACTGTCGGGTCACTCATTACTGGATCTGCGAGCTGCATGATACTGTCAGGAGAAGGAGAGAGCGCTCCGTTTATTATTCCCGTGTTATTGTAAGTTACTGTACACTTTTGAATAATGTAGTTAATCTACTATAATTAGTTTGTTTAATATCGAATCATATCAATTTGTTTTAAAGCTCAATAAATAACAAAGAAGACCTTTGACCAGCACTTTTCTCATTTTGTCCGGAAGATTTAAACTTTAACGGACATTTTGACCGGCAACAAAATATTCTAACGGGAACTCTGGTACCCGCATAGCGCGGTTTACCACTCTCACCCGCGCATGCGCACTAGCTGCCTCCTTTCCTGGAGAAACAGCCTGGGCAGCGAGTGGGGAAACTGTACTGAAAACATTATGTGGCTGTGTGGGTGTGTGGAAAGCAGAGATGCTCAAACTGGAACACTTTTTATCACTTTTATTAGAAAAGGACGATTTAAGCACAAAAGGATCATAGAGGGAGGAGGCAGGATTTGCCCTCGCGTCCGGACCGGAGAATTCCCCTCTCCCTGCCGAGACGCTTCCTCCCGCCGCCAGTCAACTCCTGGAGGAGGGAGCTCCCCACCCGGTGCCCCTCTGCTGCGGTGGCACCCGAGTGCGGACCGGAGGAGGAGGAGCCCGACGGATTTTGACAGCCTGTCCCTACGGCGGTCGGCCCCGACCCAACACCTCGGGACGGACCGCGAAGGCAGAGGGCGCCCTCGGGGCTCTCACCCGACGCCTCTCTCTCCATCTTACCCCCGCCGGACGCACTCCCCCTTGCGGGGGGGCCTGAGGGTGAGCCAGCGGCAACATGCGGCTGAGCTGAGCCTTCTCCACTTCCAGGCGGTTGAAGCGCTGAGTGACCGAGGCTATCGATCCAAAAAGCCCTTCCGTGGCAACGGGGGCCCCAAGGAGATCATCCCGGTCTTTCTTAGCCAGGGCGGTCAAACCTAACCACACGTGACGCCACGGTGGTCAGGGCCATCACCCGACCGGCTGCGGTAGCCATGCCGTGGACCAGATTATTCATCTGGCCTACGCAGCGGTCCGAATAATCACTCCCGTCCTCAGACGGGGGGGCGGGAGCGTCCTGCTGAGGGGATATCAGCGACACTCCTAACACACCCAGATTATTGGCCACCGCCGCTATCTGCACCCCAAGCTTGAATATTTTATCGAGATACTCAACCATCTCTCGGTCACGCGGCAGCGGGGGCAGGGGCTGCCGCCAGGCTATCCTCCATCGGGGGCACACCGAAACACTCCGTGTCTGAGTGGCCCTCCACCTTGAGGATTCCTGCCCAAGTAGCCACCGTAGCCTTCGTTTTCAGTGGCTGCCGCCACGTGGCTTCCGCACACCGCCAGATGTCCGGCAGAGGGGGTGAAACGAAGACCGGCTGTGCTGGACGACCCGTGCCGTAGAAGCCCTGGCGCAGGCGGCTCACCGGCCTCGGAGGTATTGGTGGGGGAAGCAGCAAGCCTGCACGCTCCGCCGCGATAGCCATCACCGCCGCGAAGTC